AAACAACTGCGTTGTTTTTCAGAAAATTATACAACTTTTATTTGATTACAGATTTCATACTTTTCTCTTTTTTTTTCAAATTATTGAAAAATATGCCAATATGTTCAAAAATATTGGTTATGAATTTATTAATATAGTATATAAGAATGAGGATATCAAGTAGCTAATCAAGGTATATATAGAATCACTTAAATTAATTCTCATTACATTGATTAAAATTGATTTATGTTTCCTTTATAACTTAAAATATTTCTTATTCGGAAGTTCAATCATATTAGAATTAGTGAAATCTTTTAACCCCTTTTTAAGAGTTCACCTGTTTTCATGGTTACACATGTATTTAGTTTTGTTGTAACTTTTATAAGAACATTATTCTGGATGACTGCATTTGAAATTTCCATTGTATACATCAGTTATAAATCTGGAACACATGCTATAGATTAGTATAATTAAAAAATAGACTGTGGTTCATTTTATAAAATAATTTTAGTTTATGTATTCAATTTTTGTTTTGTTTTAGAAATACTTTATTTTTAGTTAATTAATTTAATTGACCAATGATGATATTAAATTTCAAAAATAATTATTGCTTTGCATACTATAGTTTTGTAAAATTTTAGGATAGCTATTTCAAATGTTGATATTTGATATTTTGCTCTTTTATTAAATAATTTAATTGAAATAATTGCATTCCTTTGAGAACGGATTTAGTTAAAATTTTATATGTACGAATAGAAAATTATTTTGGTTTATGGTTTTTGATTTTTAAATGTTATTGGTTCTGAATGTGTTTTTGATATGAAAATATTTAAGTTAAAAAGTATATGTTTTATTAGAAACTATTTATGATAAAAATTTATTGATGTTCAAAATGCCAACAATAATAGACTTATCATCACCAAATAACAACAGCAGATTATGTTTTAATTCTGTAAGAACTTCAGATTTCTTTAGATTTATGCATTCGTCGTTTCAATGTCTATGTGCATTGGGTAAATTAAATTCGCTGCTTTCAATTTTTATATCCGCTTACGACCGAATATTTTGAAGAATAATTTTGTAATTTTACCATTATCAACTCCGTTTATAATGCTAAGAGATAGAAATCTGAAGTATATGGTCACTTAAATATAATCTTGTCCCATCTATCTATAATAAATCTAAGGGGATTGTGAAAATTTATCTTCTCGCCATGAATCTTTTAACTTGGATTAGACTATATATAAAATCATTTGTTATAATGTCATATAACATACGTACAGATATCACAGAGTTGACATGATCAACTGCACATTTTTCATCACTTTTACTATAAAATTTGTAAATTTAGAATAATGTGATTTGCAATAAAACAAAAAACATAGGATTAAAAAATATTCTTCTACCTTCTACAACTATATGTATACCGGTTTATAAAATTAGGGTAAAATTTTAATCCTTAAAATAATTGCAGAAAACTAGATCAAGTCTATAATAATCGATTTTCTTATGAAAATTATTTTATCAGCAAATTTTTGATGATATTTTTAAACTATTCTTAAAATTCACTATATTAAAAATGCAATATGGTATTTAGAACTACATTTGTATGTCCCTTTGTATAAAATATTTAATCGTAGGAAAAAATCTTTAGTAAAATTTTTTTTTGTAAACTTTCATTTTTTATCAAAAATCTGTTTCCTCTTAGTCCTGTATATAAATTGACCATAAAGGTATATATTTGTAGTAATTCAGTAGTCCCAGCCTTTATTTATATCTATAGTGTTATTTATTAGAGTGTTGGCAAAGAATTTTAAGAAGAAAAAAGATGATGAGGATGTTTATTGTGTATTTTAACAGATTAATCGGATGAAATCCTTAAGATAACATTATTTTGAATTCTCCTTTCCAATTTTATTAATTATCATAGTTTCCAATCAATTTATTTATAATTATTTTATTAGGCTAGAAAAAAAAATTTATTAGATTAAAAAGAAAAATTCATAACCTAGAAAAAATAATTTCTAAGCGGTTAGATGATGAATACTTTCCCGCATTAAATTTTAATTTTATAATTTATTTAAAAAATTTTAAACTTTCTTAATTTGTACAGATATTTTCTGAAAAGTAATGAAAAATTATACTGGTGGAAAGTTTTACTTAAAATGATAAATTTTTTGGTGTAAACTGTTAAATACAAAAATGATTAGTCAAGGTTTACACTATCAAACTTTGTTCATAGGTTTTGTTGAATTTGATGATTAAAATTTGATGAAAGCTTCATATGTAAACGTTCGTGAATTTTTTTTTGACGGAAGAAATAGAACGCCATCTAACTCGAATCAATTAAAATTCATAATCATTCGCAATCATTAACGAAATGCTAGATAATTGTTCTTTTGTCTAAATTTTTTATGAATTGTCAAGGATGTTATCAGTACCTTAATTTTAAATTAACTACAATTAATTAAAAAATTGTACAAAAAAAAGAAGCTCCCTTATGTGCAAATAAATTTTTTGCTTTATGGAACAAATTTTTTTAAAGAAACCCATGTAAATTTTTGCATTTTCTAAAAGATTCTTGAAATTTGAATACTTTCCATAAAAAAAAAGGTGACAAAATCAAAGATAATCGTTGTGACAAAATTCTTTCTCATTGTCACACAAACAAATCCTAATTTTTATTTTATATTAAAAACATAATGAAAATATGTGAGAAAAGTGAGTGTGACAAAATACTTTAAATTTACTAAATTCTTTGATCCTTTTATGCTTTAGTTTTAATATTGTCCTTATCTAAAGTACATTTTTACTTTTTTTTTAATTTCAAATTACATTTTTGATGATGGCAAATTATTTTTTTTTTGCTGGGATTTACTGAATTGTTTTTATTTTATTTCTTTTTCCATATTATTTTATTTATTCTGTTTTGTTATTCTACTTACGACGACGACGATTTGGTGTCAAATTAGATTTGATGCGTAATTTGATTCCAGGTGGAAACAATGATAATTTTAAATGATGAAAATGATGGGAACTGATGAATCAGTGCAATAAAAAGAAGAAGAAATATTCGTCTGCTTGTAGTTTTAATATTTAATTTTTATTTAGCGTTTGTATGCACATATGTGTATATGTATTTAATGTAAATTAATAATGTAACAAATGGCAGTTCACAATATTATGTTTGCGCTGTACGAGTGAATAAATTGAATTATTGAAAAAAGTTTTTTTCCTGAATGAAATAGTCAGAATAGTTTATATTTTTTAACGCATTTATTGTATGATTGCTTTTACTTATTTGCCGGTAAGAATGTTTAGGAAGGAACGAACTCATATGAATATTCACTTCAGATTCAGGCAGAATTTTACACCGAAAAATTTAATAACATGTAGTTGGAAAATACATTTTAACACAGTTGGACGCTGTGTATACATAATGTAAATAGCCGGAGGATACCGAAAAAAATTCTGAATCAGCAAGCTTAGCCAACAGTTTCTACATGTACAAATAAAAATTAAGTTTAAATATCCGCAGTTAGCTTGAGTCTTCTTGATGGTGAGCTTATATACTGGGAATCGAAAAAGAAGTAATTAAATGAAAGTGGCAATTTGACGAATGATGATAACAAATTGGCCTTTTTAATTGACAAATTCATGAAACAAGTTTCTGAAAACTGTTTTTCAGCGAGCTATTTACCCACAAATAGTATATGAACATATGTATATCTGTTCTAGTTGTAAGGCACTAGGGACAATTTTTAATTTAGTTTACGTTGAAATCAATTTTTTATTTTTTATAAGGTTTCTATAATTTAAGGATAAATTTTTCGTAAAGTACACATCTACGGTATGTTCTGTTCCTATGTGCTTAATTTAAATTTTTTCAATTCTAAACTCCTTAAATTTTATTGCTTCAAAACAAATACTATAAGAAGACGAAATATGTATGTATGAATACAATAATAAAAGTTCGCATAAATCCTACTCAATGCATAAGTATTTTAAATTTTCTTATATAAGAAGAAAAAACTCAAAAATTGAGTGATTTTCAAACACTTGTGGTAGTTAATTTAAAAGGATAAAATGGATACATACATATTTATCTACATATACATACAGATATTTTCAAGAACGGGCGTGTCTTAAGTTTTAAAATTTTATATATAACTGGCTTTTAATATTTTATTTTAATTTGAGTATCTTACGGGATTTGATCGAGTTCAAGTTACTTCAATAATTTGTACTTTTTTTTACATTTACAACCCAGAAAGGGTTCCAATTATGAACTTTATCGTGCCCGTACTCATAGCACATTAGATATTCATATTATGGCGAAACGGTTTTAGTGACTCAAACCTTTGCTTACCGTACTCCGGCTTATAAAGATTGTTATCAAAGTTTTTTTATATAATGCATCCACTTCTAGTGCAGATAAGTTCTGCTCTCCTTTAGCCTTCACTATTGGATGTTTTAGTCTATTTGATTATCCGCAATTGTATTGTAAACTAGGAAAGAGATTAAGAGATTACGAGTGCGTATGAAACCTACTTGATAATAGATAGGGTACCTAGTTGAACTTATTTAGCATTCGTCCGATTTAGCTCAATATCTCCATAACTTTCGAAATAATACAATATGTATGTATATCAATAACACTCCTTCTTCCTTTTCGTTTCTTATTTTATTTTGTTTTATAATTCGAATTAGCTTTGTAGGAATACAACTTCGAAAAATTTAATATTGGAATATTTTGTGCACGAACCAATTATTTTAATGTTCAGATATTTATCGGATGATGTCGCTGTGTATTTATGTATTAACGACAACTGATGACAGTCAATACTCGAAAGTCAAAATTATGTCAAAATATTTTAGTAAAACAAGAAAAGAAAATAAATTCTAATAAAAAATTATTTTGATAAGATATTTAATTACTTTTTGTTAAAGTAAGAAAAATTTAGATGTAAAAATTTCTTTAAATGCATTATTTTTTGTTGAAAAAATATTCCTAGCATTTAAAACTAATCAATTTATAGAAGAAGTGTAAGCTTGAATTTAGTTTAGTTCTTTTCATCTACATCAAGTAGGACATTTTGGTTTTCATTTTTAGTTTTATAGAAAAATTACTTTAAATGTGGTGGAATCGTTTACCAAATAATATTGTATACACTGCAACTGCTATTTACTTTAAAGGTTTGTTTATTTAAGTAATCTTGAAATATGTTTTGTTTGTCCTTAAAGTAGTTGAACATTAGAGATATAATAGCAACATTTATGTATGGATGTATGTACTTATGTAAATTTTCAGAAGCACAAGACACCGGCTGTCACCCACTTGGTTATTAAATTTACTCATTGACTCTATTATATTAAATTTTCAATGCTTAAACAAGATTATTATAAAGCACTTTAGTTTTCTGTTTAAATATTTAGCTATATCGAGTTTTTATATTTTATATTGTAATTAAAAAATTTTTACATATTATTTTGTAGCTCAAAAAATTAAGTCTGTTGGATTTCGAGGAATTCATAGCTCTATAGAAACTATAAAAGCTCGCAATATGGATATTCAAATTATTCCAGCTTTAGAAGATAATTATATGTATTTGGTAAATTTAAAACAATAAAATTTTATTTAAATACAATTTAATTAGGTAGGTACGTACTTTCTTTTAGGTAATTGATAAAGATACAAAAGATGCCGCTATCGTTGATCCAGTTGATCCAGAAGCAGTTTTAAAATCTGTTGCTCAAAATAATGTAAATTTACGTTACGTAATGACAACCCATCATCATTGGGATCATGCTGGGGGAAATGAGAAATTGGTTAAAAGTTTTAATGGACCAAAATTAACCGTTTTTGGTGGAGATGATCGTATTGGTGCTTTAACGAACAAAGTGAAACAAGATGATACATTTAAAATTGGAAATTTAAGTGTTAAATGTTTATTCACCCCCTGTCATACTACTGGGCATATTTGTTATTACATTGAATCAACAGAGGGTGATAAGGTTGTTTTTACTGGTGATACATTATTTCAAGGTGGTTGTGGTAGATTTTTCGAAGGTACAGCTGAACAAATGTATTCGGCTTTAATTGAAAAATTAGGATCATTGCCAGATGAAACAAAAGTATTTTGTGGGCATGAGTATACTTTACAGAATTTGGTAAATAAATAAAGCTTGAAAGAAAACGTGATGTATTTTAAATGATGTATTTTAAAATTTTAATTTTAGGCATATAGCCGACATGTTGAACCAGACAATCAAGCAACATTGAATCGTATCGAATGGGCTAAATTGCGTCGTGCTGAAAAATCACCAACTGTGCCTTCGACAATAGCTGAAGAAAAATCTTGGAATCCATTTATGAGAGTTCATGAAAATTCTGTTCAAAAACATGCAAAAGAAGTTGATCCAATAAGCACAATGCGTAGTCTACGTAAAGAAAAAGATACGTTTAAAGCTTGATTTTAATTTTTGAAAATCTTTATGTATTTAATTTGTTATTTTTTAAAATTGTATTGGGATAAAAGCGCAAATAAAAAATTTTTCTTCTTCTGTGAAATTTTTTAACTTCTTAATTTATTATGAAATTTTAAAGATTCAAAGCAGGAAATTTTATATATGCATCCTTAATTAAAAAAAAAATTAAATCCTTAATTTGGGATTTTTGACTGAATCTACGTAAATTTTAATTTGTTCTCGTGTGTTATAATAAAGAACTTATCTGAGTATGTAATTTAAATGCAAGTTTTGCAGAATTTTGTTTAATATTTAATTTAGAGACATGTCTAATACCTGGATATGTATAGATCTATATATGTAGGTACATACCTACAGTTCCTTGTTTTAAAAATGCATACTATATATGTAGTAAGTCAATAAAATATGTATTTGTTTTTTTTTCTTTATTATTTATTAATATATATTTAATATTATATTGATAATTACATTGGCTTTACAAATACTTTACAATAACATTAATTTGTTTATCTTTAATATTATTGATATTAATATAATTTTTTATGTTATATATTGCATGCACATATTTCTTTTTTTATAATATTCGTACTTATGTACATATGCGTATATAATATGTTTGTTGTATCATGTACGACTTGATTCGAAATAATAAATTTATGTATTAGAAAAAATTTGAAATTAATTTAAAATAATTTTTAGAAATACAAAATTTTCATGATATATTTTGTGTCGTAGTAGCGGGTAGGAATTACGTTTAATAAATTTATAATATTTTTAGAAAATTCTTAAAATTCTCACTTACTCTTTTGAATCGTATATCAAACATAGTAATATTACATATTTTATATCCACATACATAATTTTGTTATTTTAGTAAAATATTTATATAAAAAATAAAATAAAATTTTGTGTTTATTTAAAAAAAAATTCTTATAATTTTTTTCCTTTGTAGATTAAGAATAATCAGAGATCATTTAAAGAATATAAAAAAACATTACAATTTTTTTAAGAATTTTAAATAATTGTTACGTGTGTCTTACATAATATTACAAGAGGTTTGAAGACAATAAATAAATTAATCTCTTATTAGATTTTTGTTTGTCTTCATTTTGTCTTTTTTTTTTTTAAATTATTAAATTTTATTAAAATATCAATTTATTATTAAAATTTAGAGAAAAGTTTTTTTTAAAAATATTACTGCATACAATACAAACGTTACAGATACAATATGAAATGATTAATTTTTTTTTTATCTTTACAAATATAATATAATTAATAATAATAATTCAATAAAACAAATTCACATTACTTAATAATTATAATTATAAGCCAGGCTCTAATTACATAAATTTTTGGCTAAAATTTCTAACTTAAATTTTGATTTTTTTTTTAAATAACATACAATATTTTTTTTTTCCATAAAGTTTTATTAATTTTTTTTTTGTTAATTAATATAATATTATAAATTTAATTTATTGATTAATCTTAATTTTTAATAATATAATAAGTTTTAATACTTTCAATTAAAGATTTTTCTTGTATTTTTTTTAAAATTTACAACAAAATTTTCTAAATTTTTTATATAATTATATAGCATTGATGGTGTTATTTATTCACTCTTAATAATTAATATTTTTAATTACTCTTAATTTTTATGCCAGGAACCACTATAAATAAGTTATATGTATGATTATTCATTTGATGTTTAATATGGTAAGTGGTTTTATTATGGTGATGCTGTTAGGGGTTATTTTTTATTCTCTTATTTTGTAGGCTAATTCAATAATTAATTTTTATTTTCAAATAAACTTATATAATATGTAAAATTATGCATATATATATTTATAATTTTTTAATTTTACATTTAATTATATACATTAAATTGAAACTACTTGTACATATATATAAAGCAATTAGCGCCCGATATATACTATAGAATTTGATATTGTAGGCAAAAACTGGACGTGTTATGGATAAAAAGTTATAATAGGAGACGATTAAGAATTTCATAAATATTAAAAATTTTTGCAATATAAATGGAATTTGATTAGATTGTTATAGTATTCTTGAATAATTCTAAATATTTTATGTAATTGTATGTACTAGGTATATAGAAAATATTAAAAGTACTTTATGAATTAAAGTAGTTCGGGTTTAAACACCGAAAATCATGTTACTGCAATTATTTTCGAAAACAAATTGAAAGTTTTATTAATTTTTAGTTTCAACTGGTGCATTTTATTGAAAATCTTTAAATATTTGCTATTGCAGAAAAAAAAATATTTCATTATGAAATCACGTCTCCCTTATTTATATCTAAGGGTGTTGATGTTTTCATCAAAAAACCCTCTTAAATTATTTAAATAAAAAAATGTCTGATTGCATTTTCTAAGAATAATTGTTTTACAAATAAATATATGTAATTCATTTTTATTATTATTTATATTTGATTTATAAAATTATATAAGAATTTTTCTAATTTTTCATAATAAGCATTAAAACGTTTATACTAATAAATTTTCTTAAATTATTAAAATATTAATTTCGTTATGGTGGATTCGTTTTTTTTTTCTATATTTTTTAAATTGATTTTGTATAGAATATAATTTTTAATTCGGTGTATTTTTATAATTATATTATATAATACCATTTTGTTTTATTTAAATACTTGGAGATTTGGATTATTTCAATTTCGTTTAATTTATAAGATTTATTTATATATATAGTTATATGGTGTGTCGATAATATTAATTTTGAAATTAAATATTTAAATTATTTTAGTTATTCATAAATATAGTAAATAGCTGAAAAAGCAACATTAAAATTATTATAATCTATTTATTTTGTATAGAAATTAAATTTTTTATTTAAATGAGTAAAAAATAAGTGATTTTCCTAATATACATATTAATATAGTTGAATATTATTAAAATAATAATAAAAAAAAATTAACACGATATTAAAACTTTTAGCATAAATTTTAACTATACATATAAAATATTTACTTAATCTATATAATTATAAACAAATTAATATCATAATAAAATTATTATTTTATAAAATATTTTGATATTTAATGATAAACTTAAATATGCATGAAATTAAAATTAAATTTTTAAATTATATGAATATTTAATTATGTAGCTGATAAATAATTGTTTTTTTTTTTCTAAAATATATCGTTATATAATATGGTTCATCTCTTTAATGCAAGTTTAATGTTATTGAAAGGACAAAGAGAAACCTTTTTAATGAAGGTTCCCATGTAGAAAAATCAAACACTTTTTACTTTTATTCCCAAATTATTAAAGCAGCTTTTAAAGAAAATGCTGTAGTTAAGGTTAGAACTGCAAAGCTTTAAAAGCTCTACATTTAATTTATACATGAAGCTTTAAAAACTTTGCAGTTCTAAGCTTAAGAATTGCATTTTGTAAAACACCATTTGCTTTGCAACAAAGAAATTTTTCATTTAAATTGAATAATATTTTTCCTAAATTGATAACTGCTTATACGGGCTTGTACATTAGAATTCAGAACTTTTAGTATTTTTTTTTTAAATTTTTCCAGTAAGTTTCCAATTTCTCTCCCACGGTTTTTACAATTTATAATCTAAAATAAAGAATCAATTGTATTAGTACAAATAATAAATTCATCAGAATCTACAGTAATAATTTAAAAGATAAATTTAGTTTAATATGTGGAAATGTTCTTTTTCAGGCTGTAATATATTACAAACGTATATAACATTCTAAGCTATACCAAGTTATTTGTATGGCCGTAAAGGAGACTCAGCACAATTTCAGCACTTTTGTATGAAGAGTTAGAGTTTTAATTGATAACTGATGAGAATATATTGGTGAAATATACACTCATAACTAAAAGTATTGTTTCGCTTGCAAATCATTGTCAATTATTTTCTCAGGGGTGGGTTTTATTATAATATTGATATACCTAAAATGAATCGGTTCACTGAAAAAATTTAGGTATATATGAATATGTGTCGTTCTTATATATTATAAATTATTTAAATAAAATTATTAATAAAGTAAATTTTTTGTTTTGTTCAATTGAAATAATAAAAAGTAATTTATAATAATAATTTGAAATAATTTTTTTTTGACGATATCACAATAATAATAATAATAACAAAAAAATTTAGTTATTCTCTTTCTTTTTTTGTTTTCGATTTTCATAAAAAAGTTATAATACATAAGTCTTAAATAATATAAAAAGTTGAAAAAAATATTTTAATATGTGTACAAATATCTTAACTAAAACTAATCGATTAATAATATTATGTTCGATTTATAATGTATTACCGTATTTGCCTAAAGAGTAACATAAATCCTATTATAATTATGTGTGTGCCAAAATTGACATTCTTTTGACATTTACTTTTCACTATACGTCATTTTTTTAACAATATTTTTCTGTTCTAAAGTAATACATATTTTAATTTAAATGTGATTTTAATTAATTTTTTTGTAAAATATTTATATAAAAGAAAAATAACCTAAAATTTAAAATAAACTATAAATAATAAAAATTATTTAATTTTTTTCTTAATTTTTAATTATTATTTAATATTATCAATGTATTCAATTTATTTACTTTTCCCTTTTAAATTTTCCAAAACTGTATTTTAATGTTAAGAAATTTGAAAAATAAAAAAATGATAAATGTTTTATTTTAAGGTCACTTGTGATTTATACATATCGATTCATCGATTTTAAAGTCCGATATATTGAAATTATCGGTAAAATCTTAAGTTAGTAAGCCATCAATATTAAAATATCAAGTAAACTTCATAAACAAAAGACTGAATTAGTCTACTTTGCGTTAGTTTTGCATTTAGGAAGGTGCTCTCTTATTTTCGTGCCAGCTTCTTAATATAGATTTATTGCTTTGTTATGTATTTAAGCCGAACTCAAATCGAAATATCTGTAAATTTAAGGATTGCTGACTTTCACATGAAATTTTTAGTTTGACTCAAATATGACGAAACATTGAATTCAACTTATAGTATTAAATGATGTGGTGAATTATTTAGAGGTGTTTTTATAAATGTATCCGATAAAATTTATGTTACTGGTGTATTTTCAAATTCTTAGTATTCCAAAATTCTTTTGATTAGAAAGCTACATCCCTTGATAATCACACTTTAGAACTGATGTATCGATATGAATGCGAGGTTATTTTGAAGATATGTTATTAATTGTTTTTATATTTTGAAAGAAAAATTATTATTGCTTTTGAAATGGGCATGAAAAATTTTAATTAGAATGAACAGACGGAACAAAATAGTTGAAATAATTAATAATTTTTTCAAATTTGAAACTTATTATACAATTTTGTAAAATAAAATATTGGAACACATATGAACTATAATAATAATCTAATGGTGAATATTTTAAAATAAAAAAATTTACATGAAAATAATTAAATATAGAGAATTTTAATTTAAAGAAAAATAAAACAAAATATTCCTAAATATGTAAACATAAATTTGTTCTTAAAAGTAAAAGTATATTGATCATCCATCTTGTTTACATATATCAATTTGAAGATGAATTTGAGTGTTGACTATTATGATGATTATGATGGTTATGATGATGATGATGATGATGATTTCCATTAGTGTTAGGACCATTTTCAATATGATTTTGACTTGAATTCGAATCACCATTCGGAATTGATAAATAATTATTTTTCTTTCCTTTCCTTAATGCTTTTATATAAAGAACAAATACAATGATGATAGCAAGTAAAAGTGCAACAATTGCAACCATTAATAAAGGAACAATATTATCTTGAATAAAATTTGATATTCTTTTGCTTGGTTCTAAATCAGATGAAGAAGTTGGACATGAAGTTACTGTTGATATAGTTGTTAATTCAGTTGTTGTTGTTGTTATTATATCTTCCATTTTAACTGTTGTAATTGGTATTTCAGATGTAGATGATGTTGTTGTTGTTGTTGCTTTTAAATTATCATCATCACAAATTGGACAACATTCACCTGGTAATTTTCTTTGTATTTTACAATTATACATTGCACTACATTGTACTGTAAAACATCTACGAACACCATTTTCACATTCACAATCTGTACAATCATCTTCTTTCCATGTTTCACCTTCCTTAAATAGTTTACGTTCCAATGTATTATCCGAATAACAATTTGATTCAATATAACTATGTTGATTGGGTTGTGGACAAATTTCATGACAGAATTTTATACCATGTATACATTGACACATACGACATTTGCTAGGCCAAAATATTTTTTCAGTTTTCATGTATAAAGAACAATCAGGTTCAGAATCAACACATACATATTCTGGACAACATTGTCCCGGATGACTTGCATTACCTGGTTTTGTTTGTACAAGAATTTGTTTTGTATCGACGCATACGGGTCGTTGACAATCATTACGACAAATACATGTTGGTATTTTTTTCGGGCAACATTCTTTAAAAACTGACATATGATTGTCTGAAGATACTGATGTAGTTGATGAGCTTAACGCCCGTTTTGATCTTAATTCGGATATTGTATCAGATGTTTCTGGGAATGAAATAGAACGTTTCCATTTTTGATTGTAATAGCGACGGAAGTATTCATCAAAATTACGATAATCTCCGGGAACTATTTTAATTGATTCACGATGATGATATCTAAGACTCCTTTTTTTCAATTGTCTTTCTTCTGGTGGTTCAGTTGTTCTATTTTTTTTGCGATTACGTTTTGGTTTTGGTGTTGTAGTGCTTGTAGTAGTAGATGTTGAAGTTATTGCAGAATCTGTATTATTAAGATTTTCAAGTGATTTTGATACCATTTCTCCATTAGTTTCCAAATCTTCTTCATTATCAAGAGATGATAGCTTTTCAATAGGCAGTGATGAATCAGTTTCACTATGCTTTGTAATCATATTCTCGTCGGGCTCCTCTTCAGATTCCATAATTGTTGATAATGGAGGCGGTACTGTGGTGGTTGTTGTAGTTGTTGTTGTAGTACTTGTTGAAGTTGTTGTTGCTAATGTTGTAGTAACAGTAGTAGTGGGTAAAGTAGTTTCTGGTACCATTGTTAAGATACTATCAGTCGGACAATTTTCCATTACGTCTGGTGGTGGGCATACAACTTTTCTGCAATCAATTTTTTCTGAAAATAAAAAAGGAAAGAGAGAGAGAGTTAATAAATAGTATAAATTGTGCGAATTTAAATTGTCGGATTGCGGTTTTATATTTTCAGAATTTATAAATAGAAATAGTGAATTGAAATTTAGTGTAAACATAAAATAAGAAACTAAATTTCAAAATTATTTCGTTTCCTTGCAACATCGTCGGAAATGAGTGTTCACAAGAATTCTTCGTCTCTCTCGTACCAATAGTAAGTGAATCTATTAAAAATTTTATTTTCTCATGTTTGGTTTAATATTCTCTTTTGATATTTTACTAGATTTTACATTTAAATGCAAAACCTAATTTACTATTAAACGCGTGTTGTTGACACTTTTTGTTTAACTTTTAATAGTCTCTTCAAAATTTTATAGTTTACGTGTCTTTTAGGAGTGTATTTGCTCGTTATTAAATTATGTAATAAAATGAGTCCAAATCGGAATATAAAATTTTGTCGTGGAAGACATTTCGAAATTATCGTAAAAATTTATAAAAATTTTCATTTTAATTGTACGCATTCAAATGTCAAAAATATTTAATGTACAACTTAAATCATCCCGTTATTTATGGTCATATACAACTAAATCATACCAATATACATAGGACTTATATAGCAAAATTACTGTATACTGCGTACAAGGTGGCTCTGTACGAATACAATGTTATACATACAACATGCCTTAAGGTATCGAAAATGGATACAAAATATTTTTTTAAAAATAGTAGAATGTTGGGGTATGAGGTCTCAACGGATTACGGAACAAAGAAATTTTAAGAAAATTTGGGCAAAAAATTAAGCAATCCCGTAGGCTTTTCAGTTTTTAGTTGACGCTCAGTCTTTATTAAAATCTTTTCCATTTCAAAGATTCTTTTACTCTTGGACAATGAGTTTATAGTTAAAAAAGTGTGAATAAGTAAACATTTTAAGGAATTCCTGTATATCGTAAGCTGTTTACCTCTAATATTTATTGCTACATAAAGGTTTCATTTTATATTCCATTTTCCATATTTTGTATTTTTTTTTACAAAACCACCCTATGCAACTCATTTACACTTTAACGTATATATTAAATATTCATAATTCATATTATGTAGGTGTAATATAAATTTCGAGATTCTAATGGGAATCGGCAATTTTAAATCATTTAAATAGAAAAAAATAAAAATATAAACATAATTATATTTTTGATAATATTTTTGTAATTCATATATAATAATTTTATAATCTTTTAAATATTAAAATTTTATGACTATATTTTTAATATTTTTCTTATAATTAATTCGCAGCATTACAAAGAGCGCATTTCATTGTATTCTACGAATGGCAAATAAGAAATTGGTAAAAACAGAGGAGAATAAATTTAGGTTTGAAAAGAGTTTTAAAGGTGGGGGAATTAGAGGTATCCTGAATTCATGTATAGTACGTGGGTATAAGTAAATTTTTTTGAAAAATTTATGCTTAAGAAAACCATTTTGAAAATAATTTCGACAATGTTTAAGAAAAACTGAAGGTAATATTAATTTTATTGTATAAATTTTAAAATTGATCCCGGAAGGGGTTTTAAAATAAAATCAATTAAAAGTGGTCGTATGAAGGTACTGTTTGGGGTAGAGACAATGAAAAGACTATTTTTGTTTCAGAACATTTCGTATAAACAGTAGAGAAAGGTTCTAGCCAATTTGGAAAGCGTGTTTATTCGAAATCTTCCGGGCAACTGCAACGTATAGGGCATTTTCTTTCGTGTCGTTTCTTTTTAATTTAATATTTCAAGTATGTTCTTAAAATTTTTTATTTTTGCTCGTAATTCAAAGAATGGAATTATTTTTATCTCGCTCGTTTTTCAAATAACAATAAAATCTCTTGTATAATTTTTCTCTTTTTTATTTTCTGTCATTTCTTTTAAATTGACTTGAATTTGGCATTGATTTATTTTAAATACACACATAAATCATGTACTTACATACACAAAAATTATATTGAATGTGTTTAATTCTAAGTTCATTCTGACAGACAATTCAAAAATATTTTTTTTTTTTTTATTTTTAGATCAATCATTTATTATTTTATTGCAAAAAGTTTATGTTTTGTTTTTTTTTTGGAAATTTATTTGTTTATATAAAAAATGATTCTTTTATAATAATAAAATCGTAAATAATTTTATTATCCTTTTTGATTATAAAGAAAGTAAGAAAAAAATTTGTACATATGTACATGTGTATAAAAAACAAATAATTTACCATGTACGGGAGTGTATTAAATTACAAATGAGTTTTATTTTACAACCTCCTCTCTTTTTGTTTTTTTTTTTTTTTTTGGTGTTTAAAACACGTAAAATACATTTTGGTTATTACTATTTGTGTATTTAGATTTTATATTTTAGATTTAATGAGAGGAAATTGTAACAAATATTACAATTTCATTAATACATACATACATATATGGAAAATTTATGGGTATGTAATAGAGAATGTTCGATGTTTTACAACAATATCCTTTGGAAACAGCCGCCCTAATAAATACCATTATGTTGTATTTTAATCGAAAACGTGAATAAAATTTTAATATTAAAATTTAATGTGTAGGTAATTGTGCGTTGATCAAATCTCGTACTGGTATTTTTATAGAATTTATGAACTATATCAGTTAGTCTCTCTATTTATGAACTCTTTTATCAATTATATATTCAGTTCATTATAATAATTCAGCGGCTATGTTTTGATAATATTAAATTTTTGGAATTGAATATTAAAAAATTGAAACATTGGGGTTCATTAATCACAAATTTCATTTTTAAATAGTAGATTTTAATTAAAAAAGAGCCTAGGGTGTATAAATTTAAAAGGCTAATTATAAAAAGTATTTCCAAAAATAATCTTTTACCAATTTGAGACCTCACAAATTTCTTAAATTCATTTGTATCGTGAACGTATTAAGACGAACTATTTAACTTTTACTTAAGATTTACCATTAATCTTTGGTTGTAAAAGCGAAATTTCTCCTTCATTAAATTATACACTTCTTTAAAGGTTAAAATCATTGTCGGGGTCGGTTCTATTTAAAGTCGAACTAATTCTTTTTTTGATGGTTCACTGACTCATCTGAAAGAAGTTGACCTCTTTTTTATGATATACATTTATTACTTTTTACAAGACAAGAATACTATATAATTATAGTAGTCGTAACTTTCATGTTTCTTTTGAAGATTCTTCGCACGTTGATGTTGTTTTAATTTTTTGAGATAGGGAGAGAAAAAGCTGTACCAAAAACAAAATAATGTAAATGTCAAAAATCCAAATTTTCATATAAAATACATCAGCTCGTCGTTAAACTGGCATATCATTGAATCTAGATTAAAGGAGTATAATTTTTAAGGGTTTAAGTAACAAAAATGAATTGAAAATTGAAATAAATTCGAAAACGGTATTTTCTATGGTTTTATTTCCCTAAGCCAAAGTGTTAAGGTATTGCCTGTTTTGTATTAATTTATTTTTATTATTTCACTAATTTTATTATCGAATATTATTATTTTTTTATACGTTCTGGGAAATTATTTTTAGTTTTCACATTTTAAATTCATATATTTGAATTTAATTAGAATTTTTTACTTTTTCATTCAAAATATTTGGTTGTTATTTTTTTTTTATAATACCCATATTAAATTTTAAAGAACGGTTTTATAATAGGTTGTTAAAAATATAAATATCACATATATTTTTATATTTAAATATAATAGTCAGAAATTAGGGTAATTAAATTAGTTGGAATTTATTTTAATATTAATTTGTATTTGAGAATCGGCCATATATTTAAGGGTAAATAGCAATTTTTGTATATAATTATTTTTTTATCGTAACAGGGAATGGATGTTACTTTGAAATTAAAATTTATAGTGCAGTTAAGAAGCAAATACCTAAATTAATAAGACCTAACAAATCGCTTGAAAGACTTAGATTATACGGACGACATTGTCGTACTTTTCAATACATAAGAAGAGATCGAAGCCAAACTCGATCTCCTGAACGATAGAGCGAAAAGAGCTGGACTCCGAAACTTTTAACCTTGGTAGTATAATTACTACGTATTGAGGTACAGAACAAGACATGTTGAATAGAATTGGGCTGGCTAGAGTAACATTTAGAAGAAAGTGAGATGCGTGGATATTGATCGGGTTGAGTAAAAAAAACAAATTTAGTCTGTTCGGGACTTGCGTTAAGTCAATGCTGTTGTATGGTAGTGAGACCTGGCACGAAAATCCGGCTAATATTAATAGTGTTCAGGTATTCATAAATAAGTGCCTCAGAAAGATATGCGGAATCTTTTGACCAATCGAATGTTGAGCTGTAGGAGCACGCAGATGAAGATGGCGCTATTTGGGGTATACGTTTAGAAGACTGCGATATCGTGCCAAGGCATTAGTTGGAAAATTGATAAGCGTCGAACAATAGACAAAGAAATTATCGAATGCATCTATCCCGCAACCGAGTGAGATGGGGAGGCTATGTTGAAGTCCTATGCTCTTAAAGGGAGTGAACAAAGGAGAAAAAAAACCTAAATTAAGTATACCGAAAGTATTATAATTTGTTTATCAAATGTGGTATGCTTGCATATGCAGAACTGAGTAAAGAAACTAAAAACGTGTCATTTAATTTAAAAAATTTATCGTAAATTTTGTTTTTGTGCTATTAGAGTGTTCTGATGAGACAATATTCATAATTATCACTATACTTAAAAACAACAATTAAATTGTAATTTTGAATAAAAGAAAATATTTTCAAATTTTTTCTAATTACAAAATTTTACTTAAGAAAAATATTAAAAAATTTTATGAACTCTTTTTAATAAGCTTTTATATAATTAGTTAATTTTTTCATCATTTAAAATTCTTTAATTTTTATTAGACTAAGCGTTATGTTTACACAAAAATATGCAATGTTAACAAAAAATTTTAATTTCAATCACGTGC